GGAACACTTAATTGTGCTCACTAAGAATCTGTACATGGACCAAGAGGCAGTTGTTTGAACAGAACATGGGAACACTGAATGGTTTAAAATTAAGAAAGGTGTGCAACAGGGCTGTATTCTTTCACCATACTTATTCAACCTGTATGCTGGACAATTTATCTGAGAATATTCTGGCTTATATGAAGAAAAACATGGCATCAGGACTGGAGGAAGACTCACTAACAACTTAACAACCTGCAATAGGCAGATGATACAACCTTGCTTGCTGAAAGTGAAGAGGACTTAAAATATTTACTGAAGAAGCTCAAAGAGCACAGCCTTCGGTATGGATTACATCTCAATGTAAAGAAAACAAAAATCAATAAACAACATTATTAACAACAGAGAAAAGATTGAAGTTGTCAAGGACTTCATTCTTCTTGGATCAACCATCAACACTCACGGAAGCAGCAGTCAAGAAATCAAATGACGTATGCATTAGGCAAATCTGCTGTACAAGACCTTTGTAAAGTGTTGAAGAGCAAAGATATCAGCTTGAGGACTAAGGTGAGCCTGACCCAAGCCATGGTATTTTCAATAACCTCACATGCATGAGAAAGTTGGACAGTAAATAACGAAGATCGTAGATTAATTAATGCATTTGAGTTATAGGATTGGAGGAAAATATTAAAAGTGCCATGGGCTGCCAAAAGAACAAACAGATCTGTATTGGAAGAAGTGCAGCCAGAGTGCTCCTTGGAGGCCAAGATGGCCAAACTTTGTCTCTCATACTTCGGACATATTGTCAGGCAGAACCAGTCGCTGGAGAAGGATATCATGTTTAGTAAGGTGGAGGGTCAGAGAAAAAGAGGAAGATGCCCAGCAAGATGGATTGGTAAAGTGGCAGTGTTATGCCCAGAATTCAGGGTCCCCAAAGACCACCCAGGAGCCGTGTACCGATACAAATACATAAGGGTTGTTTAATCAAGCTCGAGCCAGGTCTCTAACCTTATCCGACATTTCAGAATAGGGAAAGAGCCCCGAGTTCATTGTCTGCAGGGTTTTTATAGAATTTTCAAACAGCTCAGGTTTCTCAGCTTTACAATCTTTGGATTGGTTAACAATTGGCAAACTATGAGATGTTACAGTTTAATTGGTGAGGACTCGTGGTCTTTGTTCTTAGGCTAGGGTAAAGGAAAACATCTGGCCTCTGGCCTTGAGCTGCCTGGCTATTTATACATATATCATATTCTTGGAGCTAGAGTACGTGTTCAGGCTAATGTACAGAATGGAGATTGACCTTGCCTCTGGAGGGAACTAATAACTGAGGCCTTGTCTATTTAAAATGTTTTCCTGAGCCTGACTAGAGTTTAGTCAAGCAGTTTCTAGGTAGGCAAAATCAGGTAAAATCAGTTTGGTCCTTACAGCAGCATCAATGGGCTGAAGCGTGGCAACAATTGTGAGGCTGGCCCGGAACTGGGCAGTGTTTTATTCTGTTATGCACAGGTAGCTATGAGTCGGTACCGACGTGTTGGCACCGAACAAGAGAAACATCTTCAGTGAATATTGGCTCTGGTGTGGCGCTGCAGGACGATGTGTTGGACTGCAAGGTCAACTACAAGGTTGGTGGTTCAATTCCACCAGTCCCTCCTTGGAAACCCTATACAGGGTCGCTATGGGTCGGAACCAACTCGAGGGAACTTAACAACAACAACACGTGTCATTCCATTCCAGACCTGAAGGGTGGCTGAGGGCCATAGTGTAGGGTTCCACCAGTCTCTTCCAGTCATTTTTATCATTTTGAATTTTGTTCCACATTTTCTCCCATTCTATGCAGGACATTCTAATATGGTCCTTTTCCGAGTAGTTGGTAGTGGTGGTCGGACATAATCTAGTTCTTCTGGTCTCAGAGTCACGGGTCTCAGTTCACGTGTTCTGTTTATCCATTGGATAACTGATGTCAAGCATCTTCACTTTTCCTTACACTTCTTTCTTCCACACGTGATGAGACCAATAGGTGCATCTTCGAGGGCTGCTCATGAGCTTTTACGATCTTAGTCTCTACTCAGCAAAGTAGAATGTAGAACATTGTCTCTGTGGACTATGTCATGCCATTGACCACAGTGAGCCTATGGTATTTAGCCCCCGGGCCCAGCAATGCGTTGCCTCAAGGTGTCTGGTAATGTCTAAGAAGGCTTCATCATTGTTACACTTGACTGCTAGCCACAAGATAGACAGCTCAAATCCCCAGCCAGCCCCTCCTTGGAAACCCTACATGGAGTCACTATGAGTCAGAACTTACTTGATGGCGCTGAACAACAACATGCTCTACCATATCCATAGGTGTGTTTGCAGCAAAGATACATACCCGTGTACAAATATCATCTCTCCAACCATTACATACGTGTGGGACTCCTCCCACTCTCCCTCCCATACCTGTTCAGCCTGGGAATCTGTCCAGGTTACCTACACGCAGAACACCGTGGCTCCAGGGTTGTGTATACAACAGTATTTATCTCTAGCCCCTTTAACCCTTATATTCCTCCCAGTCTCTTCATCTGTCTCCATCATTTTTTTGCCAACCCTGGAGGCTTGGTTTTTTGTCGATGAGTCCTGGTGGACACAGGTTAACCAGCTACCAGCTGCTGGCAGAAGATCAGCTGCTAACTTTCCCAGCTGCTCCATGGGAGAGAGATGTGACGGTCTGCTTCCATGAAGGCTGGCCGCCTTGGAAACCCTGTGGGGCAGCTGCACTCTGGCCTCAGGGCGGCAATGAGTCAGAACTGACTCGATGGCGGTTGGATGAGGCTTGTGGGTTTATTCAGCAATGTCTTCAGCGTAGTTCAGACATCTCCCTTTAATACCATTAATGAATGATCATATGCTACACCGCTTGAAAGGACGGAATCAGTTCTTTTTGGCACAGTACTTCTGTGTATTCCTTCCATCATCTTCTGATGGTTCCTGTGTCGGTTGATATTTTCCCATGGAATCCCTCAGCACTGCAACTTGAGATAGGCAGTTTTTCTTTAGTTCTTTCAGCCTGAAGTGTGCTTGGCATTTCAGTTATTTCTCAGCACTAAATAGCTGAACTGTCAGATAAGCATTGGAGCATACGGTCACTGTGAACCACAAGGTTGGTGGTTCAAATCTACCAGCCGCTCTTTGGAAACCCTTTACAGGGTCGCTATGAGTTGGAACCGACTTGATGGCACTTAACAACAAGGACAACAAGAAGTTGTTAAAGCCGAGAAGTTTGCTGTGTCCCCTGCCCATGTAAGCACAGCTATAGAAGGAGGCTGGCCCTAGAACACAGCTCCCCATGATCCCTTGCCCTGGGGCATGGCTTTCCAATGATCCTGAGTTCTTTCTGCTCCTCATCTCTTTCTGCACATCGATGCTGTCATGGAAAGTGCCAGAGGACTCGGTCTGCTCCTTGCTTCACACTAAGATGCAGCTCGTGGGGAACCTTCCCGGCTGCCAAAGAGTTTAATCTACGTGGCTGTGGTTTTTCGAGGTGGTGGGGTTCTAAAATATTCAGCAGACTAGGGGATGAGCAGAAAGCAGCCAGCTGAAGGCCACAGTCCTTTTCCCTCAAGTACCAAAGTGCAGCTACAAAGGTAACAGAGTTTCTCTGCACAGTAACAGCACATGAGCCCCACCAGTTCTTGTGGGAATACGTAATTATTGAAAAAAGACACAAAACCATTGTCCCTCATTATATGAGGTTTCCATCCATTCTCATTAATTTAAACACTCTAAAACGTTTCTCCTTTGCAGCTTGAATCTATAATCTGAGAAAAACACCAATATGCTTAGATAATGCACTGCTCAATACGCTTCCCATAGCACGATCATTTAGGGTTGCAAAAACAGAAAAATCTGAAAACTCCACAAAATTCTACTCTGGGAGAATGTTTAAATTATAAAGTGAGCTCCTCTCCTTGCCTGTTGTGTTACAATTACTCTTCTTTTATAAAATGTGATTTGGAAGATCATTTTCCAAAGGAAAAAAAAATGTTCATGCTACATTCTCAGGAGGAGAGGATACCAACACAAACTACATGCCTGCACAAGCGGAGCAGGCTGTGTGGATGTAGGTTTACTCCTGTCATTTTAGACATATTAATTAGGGTTGTTGTAGTGAATTCTCCAGGCAGTGAGCAACAGTGTCAATGACATTACCAGGAAGAATGAACAGCCCTCAATGCTCCCCGGTTAGAACTGAGCAGTCAGCCAGCCACAGCTCTTTCACCTGGGATGTTGGGGGGCACGGGGCAGGGGGACTCTCACCTTGCTGGACCAGTGCTTCAGCTGCGAGCTCCCTGGTGCCCACGTTGGTGTATTCCTCATTGGGGTGTTTCCTGTTGTAATGCCGCTTCAGGGAGCCGGAAACGTTACAGGAGTAGTGGCAGTGGGCACAGCGGAAAGGCTACAGGGCAAGGGGCGAGGGTTAGAGTGAGGAGAGCCAGGTGAAACCCCTCCCTTCTGGAGAGAGTCTCATCACCCTAGCTAGCACCTGTGATGAGCAGCCCCCACCCATCACGATGGATGCGCTTGAAGGGGACAAGCTGACCCAGGGAATGTTGGGTTCTGCCTCTGCAGCCACCAACCAAGTGACTGGAGCGAGTGGGTCCCCAGGGAGGAGGAGCCCAGATGGAGCATGGACTTCATCACTCTTTTTTGTACATCCAAAATGTGCAGTTTTTCTTCAAGAACAGCTCTTCCCTTGAGTGGAGCTAACTGTTTGCTCTTGGCTACGAACCAAGAGATTGGAGGTTCAAACCCACTCAGTTGCACACTGGAAGAACCACCTGTCCATCGGTTTCTGTGAGATTACTGCCGCTGGAAGCCCAATGGAGCAAAGTTCTTCTCTGACAGAGCTCAAACCCAATACCTAAGGCATTTCTAAGATGTCCTGGTAGCATAAAGGTTAAGCACTAAGCTGCTAGTCATAAGGTTGGCAGTTTGAACCCACCAGCATCTCTGAAGTAAAAAGACTCAGCGATCTGCTCCCATAAAGATGGTACCTTAGGAAACCCTACAGGGCACTGCAACTCTTCACGCCTAGTCACCATGAGCTGGAACCCACTCGACAGCACCGAGCAACAACAGTGAGGCATTTCTTATGGCTTTTATTAGCAGTGTTACCAAGCTCTTTCTGTGCATCCAGATCTGGTGCGCCACTGTGTCTATTAAGATATCAAAACCCACCTTTTCATCCCAAAGGAAACATTGTGTGATGGTTACCAAGAGTTGGAGGAAACGGAAAGGAGCGAACTGTCTAGAGGGTAGATACACGTTAGCTCTGGTGATGGGGAGGGCAAGATATAAGTTGTTGTTGTTAAGTGCTGTCAAGTCGATTCCAACCCATAGTGACCCTGTATATAGGTTTTCCAAGGAGCAGCTGGTGAGTCTGAACTGCCAACCTTGCAGTTCAAACGGGTTTGCAGTCTGGTGTATTGACCCACAGCGCCACACCAGGAATATACAAGAAGGGGAGGCGGGGCAATCAATATACAAGAGGAGGGAGGCTGACAGAAGAATGACAAAGTCAGGTAAAGACACAGGGAGGTATGCGTGGGGCAAAGGGGAGAGAAGTAAATAGTGACCTACACACAACTGGAGAACAACAGTGTTCTATGTGTAGATACAGGGATAGAGCAACAGGATGAATGGTTATAGGAGGAAGAATGGGGTGTGTGTGTGTGTATAGACGTATTTATTTATATATCCCACATATATATGAGAGTTTGAAAGAGGATATTCGTACACAAGGAACCCCAAGGTGGAAGGAGGACAACCGCTGTTCCATGGAGGGGACTGCAGTCACTGACATGAAACAAAAAGAAACACATTGGGTGGCTGTAAACTGACCATCTTGTCGGTACACCTTCACTCAATGCACACACAAACCCCGACTGTGCCTCTGCTGTCCGGCTTGTCCATCTCCTCGGCATTCCCCGGAAGCCCCGCACAAGCCAACAGTGAATTGAACAGCCATGCCCATCAGGGAGAACGGTTGTCCCCTCTCTGACTCTGTGACCATTGAGAGAGAGGAACAGGGGGAAGGAGGAACAAAATGGCAAGGGACACCTACCCCTGGCCCTTCCTCCCATGGTTACCTCCCGTGTCCTCCTCAGGTCTCTGTGAAATGTCCAGACAGAGGGCCCTGAAGGCACAGCTGGGCTGACCCTGTCCCCACCCCCAGTTCTGAGTCACTTTCACCCCAGGGCCCCCTTTGCATTCTCTGAATCTTCATCCTGTTTGTTCCTGAGACTGGCTTCAGGGTGTGACAGTTAAATTTGCATGTCAATTTGGCAGCCCACAGTGCCCACAGTGCCCACTGTGCCCAGTTGTTTGGTCAAACACAAGTGTAGATGTTGCTGTGAAGGTATAAAATAAAAAAGCTGAGTTAATTCTGACTCACAGCGACCCTATAGGAGGGGTAGAACTGTCCCTAGGGTTTCCAAGGTTATACTCTTTGTCCCTGTGGGTTTGATTCATGGACCTTCCGGTTGGCAGCCCCATGTTTAACATACCACCACCACATGTGGTTCACCTTTAAGGCAGTTTACCTGAAACACACTGGGAATGCGATGGCTCTATACCATAAACACTGGACTTCAAATCACGAGGTCCATGGTTCGAGTCCCCCAGTGACGCCGCCGGAGAAAGATGAGGCATTCTGCTCCCTCGAAGATTTGAAACCTTGGAAACCCTATACAGGGTCACTAAGAGTCTATGAGTCGGAACAGACTCGATTGCACTTGACAACAACAGGGTCATTATGAGTCGGAATCAACTCAATGGCTGTGAGTCTGCTAGGTTTGCGTTTTGTTGTTTCATTTATTGTAGCCAGGAGGGTGGGTCTCCAGGGGGGAGGTATGCACAGCCAGTCGCCCTGCTCCGCAACATCCCCCACAAGACCCAGGCCCACATCTGGGGGGCATGAAGCTCCATCATGCACTCCCCTTTGGTCCTCTATATAAGCACAGTCCTTGGTGTGACCCCCCTGCCTCCAGGAATGACTAAAGGACCTTGAACAGACGTGGGGTTACCCAGCATTTCTCATGGAGCTTCAAAGTGGTGAACCTGAAGCCTGGAATGCCAGTCTGTAAGGCTTTGCAGTATTAACAGAGAAGCTAAACATCTCTAAGAGCTTTCACTTCTAGAAAGACAAATATGAAATTATTATTTTTGAAAGGTTAGGATCAAAAGAAAACACTCCATATGCTATTCAGACAGTGCTGGATAGTCAGTGGGAAGAAATGGCTGGAAAAGAAGAGACAATAAAAATGGAAAATGGCCCCAAACCTAACTTCACACTCTAGGCATGACCATCCTCCTTGTGGCAAAGCCGGTCACTAGCTCATGAGAGCGCCAACTTGTTCTGACCTAAGCACATAGGCACATAGGACAGGTGAGCCCCTGGACAGACAGGTGAGCCCTCGGACAGACAGGTGAGCCCCCGGGCAGGCAGGTGAGCCTAAATACACAAGTGGGCTAAGGAGCTCTGGTAGCATAGTAGTTACAAATCGGGCTGCTAATCTCAAAGTCGGCAGTTTGAAACTACCAGCCGTTCCGTGGGAGAAAGATGAGACTTTCTGCTCCCGTAAAGATTTGCAGTCTCGGAAACCCTGTATAGGGTCGCTATGAGTTGGAACTGACTCCACGGTACTTAACAACAACAACATACAAGTGGGCAAGTACATCAAGGTGAGCCTATTACAACAAGTAAGCCCAAACATACAGGTGAGCCCAAACATAGGAGGAACTTCAAAAGGTCCTGGGAACACTCTTTTAAATCCATTTTTCCATGAACCTTCTGAAGCCCCCTAGTACAGGTGAGCCAAATGAGACATCAGTCTTTTTGACAGTAATGCAAACCATCAGTTCTCAGGGCTGGAAGGGGCCTGTGTGTGGAGTAGTCTTCCCTCCACTGGGAGGCTCTGTTCCACAATATCTCTGGAAGCCTGTCACCTACCTAACCAGCTGCCATCCAATGAGTCCAGACTCATAGAATCCTATGAGTCCCCGTTTCACAGGGCTCCCTTTGTCATTGAATCGTGACCCCTAGTCTGTGTCAGCTTGGCTGGGGCATGATTCTCAGTAGCTTGACGATTATGTAATAATGTCATGTGACAGTCATGTGATGGTCCCCCATGACATGATCTGATGTGATCAACCAGCAAGAAGATAAAGGGTGAGCGGCAACACCCTTAATCCCATCACAACCCTTACCCCATGAACAAGGGAGTCTCCTGGGGGTGTGATCTCCAACACCCCTGAGAAATGAGCAGAGAACGAGGGACCTACTGCCACCAAGAAAGAAGAGCAGGAGTGGAGTGTTCTCATTGGCCCTGGGGTCCCTGAGCTGTGAAGATCCTAAATCCAGGGCAAGACTGATGCCAAGACCGCTGGAGATCTCCAAAGAGTGCTCAGCCTACAGATGCTGCAACGAGACAAGGACCGTCCCCAAAGCTGACAGAGAGCTAGAACCGCCCTCTGACTGGGAACGTGTGACCTCCTACACTGTGAGAGCATCCATTTCTGTTTGTTAAAGCCATCCACTTAGAACACAAAACACACTACCATCAAGTTGATTCCCAACTCACAGCCACCCTGGACAGGGTTTCAGAGGCTGTCAATCTTTACAAGAGCAGAGAGCCTCCTCTTTCTCCCACTGCCCACCAGACCAGAGGCCCCAGAACCACACAGGGCGCTGCAGTGCTTTGCAAACTCCAAAGCCCAAGAGCCTAATTTCAGTGGTCTGAATTAACGAGCATGCTGCCTCCCCCCTTGGTGGTATATGACTGTCTCCTCAGGGAACCATTCTGGGGGGGGGCGGGGGAGGAGGGGTAGAGTGCTGCCTTCAGGAGGCCAGGAGATGCCCACCACTTGGTGGCAGAGGCATTGTTACCCCCTCACAGACTCAGGCACCCCAATTTTATTTACTTTTTTTTTTTTGGTGTTGTTTTTGTTGAGGCTGTATAGAGTAGACTATACACCATTTCCATAATCTCTACATGAACAATGAATTCAATGGCCATGATTACATTCTTCAAGCTGTTCAAACAATGGTCACCCTCCCTTTGCATATTGTTCTTCCTCCGTCAGCAAGAGCTCACGAAGTTTCCACAGGAATCTTCAAAGTCACCGCTGCCAGTTTGGTAATGCAAGATAGATCTGGAAAGTACACAGTATTCAAGGCACACTCATAATTATCTTTGTTAGACTGCAGTTTGAGTAAAAGTTGACAGAGTGTGTCAGTTTTTCATTCAACAATCGATACACATCTTGTTTGGTGACATTGGTTGCAGTTCCCACAATGCAACAGCGCTCTTCCCACTTCCTCCCTGGTTCCGTTTCCATTCTTCCTCCTTTCCTGCCCCTTCCTGCTTTCTGCACTTTCATTTTGACCAAATGTTG